AGTAGTACTTTTGTTACACTTTTAGCTGCTATCATTTTAAGTAGACATAGACATTAGGTGATTGTTTCTCAGTACCACCGGTCATGGTATGATCAGGAAATCAATGTCTGTGGGCATCCTCAGATCTTAGCTAACAACCCTGGCCAACAGTTCTTGTGGCATAATAACTGTTCAGTTTGGGTAATTTTGCTCTCCAAATCCTTTTTTTTAATCAATATAAGAGTTATAGTTGTGCTGGCTCTGCATGCAGACACATGTTGAAAAAACATGTATATTCACAATGTATTAAAAACATGATTTGGCATTCAGATTGTTTGCAAGTGACTAACCATTGTCTATTGTATGACCAGCTTAAAGATTACCTCTGCAGCGGAAAGCTTCTTGATACAGAATGGCATGAAATTTTCTTAACTCAATTTTGTACGTTATGTGTTTTCCAATATGTTATTTATTGCGGCATCTTTATATCTCCAAATGTCTGTGACTTCCATTAAAATCTGGCAAAGAGGCTCTTTTCATTTAAGTGTTCTTCTGTCCCAATTTGTTATGTGGATCAGTACCTTCAGAGCTGGCGGACAGGCCCTTGTATGCGCTGTTTGCTGTGCTTTCCTTATGCTATCATAGGTCATCATTATTTTATGGCACATAGTGAAAACACAGCAAGAATTTTAATGACAGGAAGATCAGATCATAAAATGAAGGCATGCTTCCTGATCTGAATGCCAGAGAGAGTTAGATGAAGGGTGAATTTACTCCTGGGTCAAAAGCAACATAAAATCAGCTTATAATTGTACTCAGTTTATCACCATAGAATACAGTTTTCATTTAATGTCTGAGTTATACAATTATGTTTCTTTCCTCTTTTTACTCATATCCTGAGAGCTTGATAGTGGTGTAAACTACAATTTATGTATAGTTTCTTTTTATTGGTTTTCTCGACAAGTGAAAATAGTTGAAATACAGTATACTTTCATATGTTATTGTTGCAATGTTTGTAGTGATACATGGCATATGATATATATCTGTTTCAAAACTATACAAAAATGTTAATCTATTATTGAAATATTTTACAACCAATTCAGTGTAAATAAAACATATAGAGATAATGGTGGTATTTGAATCCATAAAAATATTTTGCAACTGTAAATAGGGTATATAGCAATGAATATTTCAGGAAAGGTTAGTTTATGAACATATATATAGTTTTAGAGAGAAAGAGTATGAGGCAAGGGAAAAGGATAGTGGGAGAGATGAACAAAAGGAAAAAAAAGTAGAGGGATTCGGAGAGAGAAGGTATATTATAGAGGTTTCCAAGTTATCGATGATGAAGTTCTTCATTTAATGTTTATGAATTATAGCATGACCACCTAAGTTAAGATGAAAGGTTGCCAAGGACCAAAATTCCCCCAAGGTAGCTATTTCAATCGAAAGGACTCTACTTTATCTTCTTCCCAGGAGACCACCTTTTCCATGTGGATGATATATTTCAGTTTACATAACCATTCAGCAATTGATGGAGTGTCATCATTACACCAATGTCTGGATATGATAGTTTGAGCTGCTGAGCATCTAAGATGTCCCAGTGTCTTTTTATAGAGAGTAGTGTAAATTGTAGGGTATCTGGAATGTTTATGTCAAAACATTTTTTGAAAATAGTCCCCACCAGAAATCATGTATTCTGTTTTTTTTCTAGGTAGTTTATTTTTACATATAGTATGTAGTGCCTTAGCATTTTGTTCAGGTTTTGGAAGACGATTTTGGGGGGCTGCACAGTAATGGACTATAAAGTGTAACAGGGTTTTAGGAGAACATGTATCTTTATTATGTTAATGTATCCAAACCAAGAGCATGAGGGTTTACCGTAGGCTTGGGGATTTTGTCTTACTTATTAGACTTGTGCGCCGTCAGAAAATTCGTTTTGGAATATCCGTTATTTCTTATTTCGTAATTCGTGTCCTAAACTCAATTCGGACGAAATACAAATTTTTGTTAGTTTCGTCACATATTCGTAACTTTACGAACATTCGTTATTATGAAGTTAAAAAGCAAAAATACCTTTGTTAATATTGGAGTCGATGGTAGTTTTTTTTTATCCGAAATACGAAATTCCGTTTTTGTATTTCGGATCCGAATTTCGTATTTCGGATTAAAAAAAAACTACCATCAACTCCAATATATTAACAAAAGTATTTTTGCTTTTTAACTTCATTATAATGAATGTTCGTAAAGTTACAAAAATGTGACTAAACTAACAAAAATTCGTATTTCGTACGAATCCGAATTGAGTTTCGGACGCGAATTACGAAATACGAAATAACGGATATTCCGAAACGAATTTTCTGACGGCGCACAAGTCTAATAAGTAAGACGAAATCCCCAAGCCTACGGTAAACCCTCATCCTCTTGGTTAACGGAATTTCGTATTTCCTGCCTGTATTGTAATGCAACCCTCAGCAGCAGAAGAGAAAACCTCTGATTGGTCAACCAAACGAAATACGAAATTCCGTAAATTTCGTATTTTCGGATAAAAAAAACTACCATCAAGACATCAACTCCAATATTAACAAAGGTATTTTGCTTTTTAACTTCATCATAACGAATGTTCGTAACGGAACGAAAATCCATTAACGAATTTCGTATTTCGGATAAGAAAAAAATCTTGTCATGTTGTTCAACCTCATTTACAGGGGTAATATATTAGTTCCCGTTTCAACGAAATTCGTATCCGAAATTCGTTAACGGAATTTCGTATTTCGGATATAATTCGGAAACTGCAATTCGGATTTTGGATGCTTCCGAATTTACGAATTTCAGGAAATTCATACGAATTTCGATTCGTAACGAAACGAATCGCACATGTCTATTACTTATGAGGGTAATAGGCGGTAGTTAAAAGCCTGTAGGTTAGTGATGTTTCTGAGGATATGGACTTCAAGGTATTTTTTTAATGTTTATGCACTCAAGGGGAAATTAGATTGTATTTGGGAGAGGCTATGAGGTGGTAAAGATATATAAAGGGTCTCTATTTTATCATAATTGACTTTAAAGTCATCCACTTTTCTTAAACTCTTTCAGGATCAGGTTGATGGTGGTCAGCAGGAATGTAACATATAATAAGAGATCATTTGCACTGTGTCTCTTTAATGTGAATGTCTGAATTATTTAGTGTTCCATTGTGAATATATGGAGTAAATGGGAAAGGGGACATGTCTGCGTAGTACCATTATGGATCAAGGGAGGTTTCAAGAGCATATTGTTTGTTCTAATACTAGCTGATAGGTGGCTACATAAGGCAAGTATATGAAGATATGATCCAACCATTGGAACATCGTTTATGCAAAAAAAAAAAAATTAAACATGCATATTTGGATTACCCTAGGGAAAATGTTTAAACTGAACGAATAGAAAGAGAACAATGCAGTTCTGGATTTTTTTTCACAGAAAACGAAAAAAAAAAATCCCCCAAAAAATATCAGTTGGGTGTCTACAGAATGTTTCCAGAACCTTTAGGCACACAGTTGTTTACCGATCTTGACCAGGCAGTGATCATCCTATGTAAAGTCCAAATCACTCCCGACACAGATAGATCACAGCAAGCCTTCCTCTTTGATCAATTCCACCTGATCACAATGGGGCAGCTCCACAAGGCAGGGAACCTTTACATCTAAGAACACAACACAAAACGCTGATTATCAGGTTAAAAGTCCATCTGAGGTCAGGGTTCTGAGAAAGGTGGCATGCACCAAAAACACGTTAACCCTGCCACTTGCTGCTTGAACACGGCTTCAGATGTGAGCTGACCAGGCTGCGCTTTGGCGTTTGATAGCCGATTAGCCTCCAGAGAGAGGAAGGCCTGGTTCACACCTGAACGTTTTGTAGCCGTTCAACGCTCAACGAACGCTCTACAAAACGCTCAAACATCTAAATCCCATTGTATTCAATGGGTCTTGTTCACACCTTGCTGTATTTCCGCCCGTCCGAACGCGATACAAAACAGCCTACACCCAAAGAAGTACATGTACTTCTTTGGGGCGTTTTGGCCTCGCGTTTCCATTGGGATACAGCCAAGTAGCACTCAGAAACGGGTGTTTGTCGCACGTTTTTTTTTACAGCGAATCACGGTAAAAACGTGCGTCGCGAAACGCGCGACAGACGCGCATATTCAATACGTCTAGGTGTGAACCCAGCCGAACCATTGGATACGCTTGTTTTTCCTTATTTCTTGTGAGTACAATACCACTTTTTAAGCATTTTTATTAAACGATATTAAACGAGTGGGCACTCTTTTTCGTGTGTTTTCAGTGACCATCCTATATCTATAGACACCTTTACACTGTTCAAACACAATATACCACCTGACCAGAAAAACCTTTTACTGGGAGATGAGCAAGAAGAAAGAGCAAGAAGCTAGAAGAAATAAAACTATAGCCCCTATAGCTATGCAGCTATTGGATAACAATGCTCAAAGTGTGCCCCCACAGCCACAGCTTTTGGAAGGCACATGTAATACCTAACTAATATGTAAAAAAAAGACTGCTAGAGAGATGGCTGCTGATATAACCCTGAGACTGGCATGGGGTTAGGAGCTTACTTTGTTACTCTCCACATTTCTTTGCGCATATCACATAAGAGGCGGAGGTTCTTAGACATTGCTTCAATGTCAAACGTAATGCACAGAATGAAACTACTGCCAGCTTCCATGCCGACATATGCTGGCTTATTCAGTAAGTACAAAAAGTAATCAGGATGTTCTGAATACAGTAACAGGAACCAATCAGATTGCATTTCACTCTAGTTATATCATTTAAAAGATGATTTCTAATTGTTTGACATGGACGACTGCAATGCTCTCATCATATTTGCTCTTTACTCTGATTTCCTGAATAAATTGGATAGTAAAAATGTGATTATGATTTCATGTAAAAATTTAATCATAAACACTCTGGAGGTAGACTGTAGTTCTTTAAATTGTTAAATATGTTTGTTTTTTGTTCTTGCAGTTCATGTACAACCTGGCACTTGTGAAGTAATTGCTGCTCACAGATGCTGCAATAAGAACAAGATTGAAGAACGGTCACAAACAGTAAAATGTTCCTGTTTTCCTGGCCAAGTTGCAGGGACTACAAGGGCAGCCCCATCTTGTGTAGATGGTAAGAATGAATTCAAAATCCTAGTTTTATCAGTAACTATCCTGTATATTGTTATTGAGGCACAACATTTTTTTAAAATTGAAAACCTTAAAATGAATATGTGGTTAGGCTTAATTATTGACATGTTCTTAACAAGCACTCCGCTCCCCTCCCAGCAGTGCTTTAGCAGTCCACCAGTATTCTGTAATGTAAATACAGAGCGGGTGCTCAGGAGGAGAAGCAGGGTTAGGTGAGCTTCTGGGAGAGCAGATTGAAGGACGTCAATGCTTATGCTGTGAAACTTGATGAATTGCCCCATAGTGCATGCAGCTACAGATGAAGGGACTATAGAAAGCAGGCTGTTGGAAGCAACGATTACCTCATTTGTCAGTAAAGGCATGTTTTAGTTACCAGTTGTTAAAAATATGTAAATACTTGTCAATAGCATAGCCACAGGTTCACTTTAATATCTCCAGGAAAAAGATGCATTTCTTTAGATGCTTCTTACAAAAAAGTAGTACATTTCTCAATGAACAGGTGTGCTATCAATGCATTTGACAAGCTCAGATGGGAATGTAGAGTAGGGTACATGTCATATTACTGGCTAAAGAGGTTGTTCCACCTTTCAAGACATGGCCCTAGCAGAAGCAAACACATTAGGTCCCTTTTGCACACCCATAGGTTAAAAAAACCTGGCTTCTGTAAGAATTGATTACATTATTTTCAGCTAAGCCCACTGATATTCATAAATTACAAGAAAATGTCTAAAATACAGATGCTTATCTTTGTATTAGAAGGAATATCTAAAACTGTTATTTGTGCCTAAGCAGTACCTAGGAAAAAAGTTCTAAAAAATAACATACTTCTTGGTATGTGATTATGCATGTGAAAATGTAGTGTACGATCATCCAAGACACTGCTGCCTCTGACTACAAGGTTTGGAGTGATATTCAGATGTGTACTACTGTGCTGCTTGCTGGATGGGAATCTGCCATGCATTTCTCTGCTTCTACTTCATTATAAGCTCTCAGGTGGCAGGGCCCTCCTTACCATCTTGTCTTGAATTGTATTGTGATTGTAATGTCTTCCTTATATTGTAAAGTGCTGTGCAAACTGTTGGCGCTATATAAATGATAATAATTTAATCTGTGGATCTATACTTTGCCAACCTTTCCTGATTCTTCATGAATATTACCCCCACCAGAGATCATATCCCCATTGGGGAAAGCTCTGACAAGAGGAAGCAATGCCCTGCTCCTCTACCAAGATGGTCAGGCAGAGACACAGTGCATAACAGGGCATGCTAAGGCAAAGGCAAAAGATTAGCTGTAGGGAGCTTAGACACAATAGTTCTAGTCATTTGCCCTTTGCTTGTGTTTTGTGGGCACAGCTTCCAGAATTCAGGTTCTCTTAAAAGCTTTGAGCCTAATGTCTGTTCAGCATTAGCATTAGCTAAGTCTTGTTTTTTTCAATATTTCTCTATTTTACCATGTCAAACATATGCAGTGTTTACTGTGTGTACCACATTTAATGTTTGCATGTACAAATTATATAAATGGCTTGGTAAAAAAGTTTTTGTTGCAAATCTCATGTTTAAACATTCTGCTCTAGCTACTATATGACATGCTTGTATTTTCATGCCCAAGGGCATCTGAATGCTGGTAGATAAAATAAACGTATTGCAATGCATTCATATACAAATATACATAAGTCTTAATTAAATCTAGCCAGACCATAGGACATAATTACAGTGCATTAAAGGTATTATAACATGAACTTATTTCAGTAAGTAGAACAAGGCAAAGCAATGTGAAAATGTTTCTTATGTTTCATTACATATGCAGTTCCCATTACTGATCCATCCATGTAACAGATCCTCTTCCTGAAGGTAGTTCATAATAATGCATAATTAACATCCATGTGCTCATTAGCACTCCACTTAGCAATATAGCAATCCTTTTTCACACTTACACCCACCATTATTTACACTGTAAACATCTATGTAAATCAAAAGCAGCATAAAATATTTTTTTCCTGGAATAAAAAAGATAAAATGAAGTGTAATAATTAGATCACATTGTGCAGTTGATAATATTCGGGTGCTATTAATAGTCACTGAGATATTCAGCAAAGCAGTGAAAAGAGCAACGAGGGTGTGAAAAGCTGCAAATCAGAGCAATCAATCATATATGAGTTTTTAAATAAGCTAGCTAAAATAAATCTAGTCGGGTTGCTATAGATTACTGACTTTGAACATGATCTTTGCTCTTTGCATTTCCCTGCAGAATAATCAGTTTGTTTTTCTGAGTTTGCATTGTGTTTTGCATCGTTAAGGTACTTAAATGCATTTAATAAATGCAGGTAATAGTTAAGGTACTTAAATGCATTTTTAAGATTTAAATCCTAAGTTTAGTGACACTATAAAGTTAGGGTTTCCATAAACCAGAAAATCTCTATCACTAGGGGTAGTAAGGGCTGGATTTTGGAGTTGGCTTCAAAGAGTGGGAACCATCTGTGAGGGTGTGTACTCTGTGATGTATACTCCCATATGCCACCTACCTTGGTCCTAATTGTTGCTATCTGAACATTCCAGCAGACAGTGGTGGCCCTTCAGTAGACTTTGTAGGTGTAGTCTGACAGTTCATCCATTCTGTTTCAGCACTACTACACTTAGCACAAGGAGCTTAATTTATGCATAGCCAAAGTATACTTTTGCTAGGGTGGCAGGGCAGCCAGGAGTGGCACACAACCACTTACTTATATATTATGTTGTTATGTACACTTTTGAGTCCCTGCACAGTTTGTGTGTTTTTGTTGGTGGAAGAGTGTACTTAACTTTAAATCCACACATCTAGAACTGGACTGGAAGCAAGATGAGCTAATAGTTTAACTGCTCTTGTAGTCAGAGATTCTAGCTGTACTGTAGCACAGCTTTACTGCCCCAGACTCAGCATACAATTTTATCTTGTTAGTGTTATACAAAGCTTAGCCTTAGACTACAGAATAGAGCAATCTATAAGATTTAATCTGAGAGGTGGAATTTGTCCTAATCTGCCAGGGTCAGGACATTAAACTGGTGTTTTTTGGATGGCACACAGACAATATATTATCCTCATTCTTTTGAAAAAGAACATGGCTAAGATGGGAATTACCCTCACTTTGGGGATATTTCCTCTCATTTCCTGATGTTTATTCAGGACAGAAAACAAAGGGGAAATATCTTCAGCAGACAGCAAAAAGTAACATGACAGGGGTTAAATATAGATTAGGGCTGTTACTTATTAAAATTTTCGTGTTCGATTAATCAAATTTATTTTTCATCGATTAATTTTGGTTAATTATTACGCACATACAGATCCAACTACATTGGCCTATACACATACAGCACAGCAATGAAGTAATAAAATGAACTAGGATCACACTAATTCAGCACGTTATTAATCTCACGTGCCCCAATCAATATGGCCGCCGCTTGAGTGGGGCAACTCAGAATAATAACGTGCTGGATTAGTGTGATCCTAGTTCATTTTATTACTTCATTGCTGTGCTGTATGTGTATAGGCCAATGCCTTGGCTGGCACTTGTGCAGAACAAGTTTCTTGGGCAAACCTCTTCTACAATCTGAAATAAAAATCAAACAAACTCTTATGTGGGGCATTGCTCATATCCAAATGATCAATTTACAAATAGCCTTTTCTACAGGTTGTACACATAGCGTATATAGGTGCATACTTTATATATTATGGTCAAACCATACTGTTACTATAAATAGACATACAGGTGCATAAACCACCAATCAGCACACCCTCTGATGTCATAGTGATGTAATATTCCCGGCAAAACACTTAAAAAATGGAAGTATAAATAATGACCGGCACATTCAGCAAGATCAGTATAAGTATAAGATGTGTACCTTCGGTTAGATGCTACATATAGACACAATACCGCCACAGAGATAAAAGAACAAGTTGCTTACATAGTGGGAGAGGACAATAGGAGAACAGAGCCCGTCACAACAGGAAACCATTACATGATCCAGTTGCCTTTCGTTGCCGTTCGTTGTCATGGCAATGAGGACGCCGTCAGGCCCTATGTGCAGAGGCAGATCCCGCCCACTGGCATGTGCGCCGCCCGTACATTCTGGTAGTTCCGCCAGTGTTGTTACAGATACAACGGTAAAGTACCATTGCTAACGAAGGGAAGGGGGAGGAGTCCGGTGACGTCCTGGACATCAACGTCACCGTACTCCTCCCACTTCCCTTCGTTAGCCGACAGCCACTTGGGGAAGGGGGGAGGAGTCCGGTGACGTCGATGTCCGTGACATCACCGGATCTCTGACGGAAGACCCGGAAGTCGGCGGAGAGGTGAGTACCGATCAAAAGAATTTTGATTGATCAAAAAAATTAACGATTAATCGAGGAATTAATCGTTAATTTCCGCAGCCCTAATATAGATATATATCTATATATAGAGATCTGGTGTGCACAACCCTTAAGGAAAGGATCCCACCTAGGGGATTTAGCTCCTGCTGGGAAATAGAAACAGACCGTGTTCAGGGATGAGGAGGACTCCCCCAGAAATCAAAGAGGAGTCAGGTGAGCTCCAACTGGGATAAGAATAGACCGTGTTCGGGAGTCAGAAGGACTTCCCCAGAATTTAGAGTGGAGTCAGGTGGTGTGTGTGCTGGAGGAACACAAAGGCAGCCAGGGAGGATGGTAGAGAACTGGTGAGGCTAGGCGAGCCGTCAGCATGAGGGGCCACCAGTACAAGTGTGGGACAGCTCTTCAAAGAGAACCCATGGGCAGAGCCATAGCTAGTTCCTTTTGTGCCCGAGGCAGGAATCGAAAATTTTGCCCCCCAACAGATGTGTAATGTCACCCGATGCACATGCAGCATCATGTGACCTGCCTCCAGGATGGCAGCACACATGCGCAGAATGCATTGGTGGCCAAATCAAAAATAGCATTAAAATTTGTTTTGTTTGACGATACTAATTAAAACATTTTTAGTTTCTGTTGATTTCGTCCGAAACAATTTTTTTGTCTTTCCACATGTTTAATAATATGTTTGCATGACTGTGAGTGTGTGTGTGGGGAGGAGGTGTTTTTTATTTATTTTTGTTATTATTATTTTATTTAAACAGATCCCTAACATTTTCCTTTTGAACTAGAAAAAGAAATTGAGGGCACACAGTCCTCAATCTCTTTTTCTGCAGCATCTGTTCTAAATGAATGGAAAGCACTCAGTACAGAGGCTGCCCATTCATTCAGAAACTGGTGATAGTAAAATATTTACTATCATCCAAGGATCAATGGGAAGAAGCCTCCATAGTGAGTGCTTCCACCCATTGAGAAACTCATGAATGAACAGGAAGTGATGTAAAGCATTTCCTGTTCATTCATAATTGGGAACACATAGTACTAAGTGCTGCCAGTTGTTCATGCTGCACACAGAGGATCGGTAACTATCAGTGATATTTATAGATCCTCTGCTAGACCATCCTGAGCACTGAAGCTAGCAGGGGATGAGCGAGGAGGGAGTGTTGAAGTCAACACGGGGGGGCGGAGGAGGGAGTGCAGCCGACAGCTCTCTCTCTCGTCACTGCTCGGCCATCTTGAAGTGATAGCGCTCCCTCCTCCGCCCCCCTTGCAACTTCTCCTAGGATCACTACTGCCTCTGCCCATACAGGAGAAGCTGGAGCCTGTACCGCCCCTCTTCTCCCTGCCGAGCCGTGGCTCTGTTGGCCACCTGGCGCCCTTGTTGCCATGGTGCCCTGTGCTCACCATGGCAACAGGGGCGCAGCCAGGCCGGCCCTGGCTGAGCCCCCTCTCAGCTGCGCCTAAGGCGAGTGCCTCAATCGCCTCATGGTAGCTACAGCCCTGCCCGAGGGTCAGAAGTGCTAATGTTTAAAATGGAAGCCAGGAGGCTATACATATGTTGTTTTGAAGCCTTGCATGAATGTTATGCTGAACAACCCCTGCGAGGGTATCCAAGATGGATGTATGAACTTTTGTTTGAATCAAAGTGGGCTACCAGGCCCTTAAACAGAAGATATTGTGAGTGGACTGCATCCATTAGCGCTCACCATATGTGCTAACATCCCCAAACATCACAATATATAAACGTGTTTATGTATTTTATTCATATTTTTTCAATAAAAAGAATAGATGACCATGGATTCCAAGAGCACTATAGTTAGAAAAAGAGATGACAGAGCAAGAGCAGCATGCTGGCATGAGTCACTGTGATAAGTTACTGTTTGTACTTGTGTATGATAATTTCACCTTGAGCTGCTAAGGTCTGCAAACCTTAGTCACTTTTACAGTTAGAGAGATATAAGAAAATATGTGAATAGGATCTGAGAGCTACAACATTTGCCCTCCCCCCCAAAAAAAATGAATAAAGCAATATTTTTAGAAGATACAATCATTTTCCAGGACAGATCTTTGGTTATATACTTATTTACATCTTGCATGAGCTGATTTCATTTGTACCAGGCAGTGACAGATGTAATATAATTTCTATATAACTGTAAATGTCAAACCCAAGAACAAAAATGCAATATATTGCAGCTTATCAGTCTTTAGATGTTGTGGCTGCATTAGTTTTCTTTTTCAAGCTTTTTTTTATTTTCACCTGATGATCCTGGAGTTACACACATCCTGATGCTCTAAGAGTAGGGGTGGGGGTGCTGTCAGTGAATGGTCATTCTGGGGAGAGTTTGGGGGCTATCAGTAAATGGTCATTCTGGGGGGTGGGGGTGCTGTGAATTAATGTACGTTTAAGGGGGGGTTCTGTCAGTGTTCGGTATTTCAGGGGGATGGGGCGGGTTGGTCTGCCAGTGTATGCTCCTTACGTCTGGGTCTAGTGGCTCTGCCCAGCAACCCGTCCAGCTCACTGATGTCTCTAGTTGCCAGGAGCTGGGAAGGATGCCAAACAGAGCATTCCGCTCAATTTCTGGCAACTGGTGACAGCACTGAGTTGGGTAGGAAGCAGGAAAGAGTGTCACAAGATGATAAAAGCTTTTAGCAACCTTGGGCACTGTGGCTGCCACCCACGGCTCCCCACACCTGCTGTCCCACAATAAGATGCTGCCTGAGGCAACCACCTCAGGCTTCCTCATTATAGGTATGTCCATGAGTGTAGCAGAAGCAGAGTACACAGTAAATTATGAGCTCACTGGGTTTCTCCCAGGATCAACAGGTATTTTTTGCTCTGATCAAACAGATAACCATTGGCTTTCAGTGGTATATTTTACAGATCAAAAGAGAGCAAATAAGAGAAGTTTATTGTTAGGGTTTGAATATGCTTATAGTGAGCATCAAGGTGGACTTATTCGTATTGCTCCTTTATGTGAGATTGTGCTCTATCAGAACAGAATATTACAAATGAGGTTGAGAGCTGAACAGAAAGTGTATGGTATCATACATTTTGATCTATGTAGTCTATATAATGATGCCAATAAATAAAGATTTACAGTATATGGAAAAAGACCAGGACATATGACAAAATTACCTCTTTAGAATGTAAGTTATACAGCTTATATGTTCTAATTTTCTTTATAATACTGTCCCTTTAACAAATAAAGGATGATTTAACCCAAGGCCCTTTGACAAATTTAAAATTGTAGATATTACAGACTTCTACAAAACCTTGATTCAAGAGTTCATAAACATTTCTGCAATGATTTTCTGTAAAAGGACGCTGTTCCATAAATACTTCACTTTTCAAGTTCACTGTTTTCCAAAAACTAGTAACAATTTTTCTTGTAAAATACTAATGTTTCAGGCACATCTCCCCCAACGTTATGTTTCTCTGTGTTTTATTATAGTATTTAGGTTTTACATTTGCTTATTTAAAATGTATCTACATCCAAAAACAAATATGTTGTATTTGCAATTTAAATATATCAGTCTATGATAATATCAGTCCGTGAATATAAAGATAAAACAATGTATAAAACAATACATAAATGTGTACACTTTTAACAAAGGGTTTAAAATGATATTCCTCTCTGCCAATCCCTCCACTGGCTCCCATTTGCCCAAGGAATACAATTCAAAATACTAACAACAACATGCAAAGCCATCTACAACTCTGCCCCAACCTACATCACTGACCTCATCTCAAAATATCACCCAAACCATCCTCTCCGCTCCTCTCAAGTCCTCCTGCTCTCTAGCTCTCTAATTACCTCTTCCCACGCTCCCCTCCAGGACTTCTCCAGGGTGTCCCACATCCTCTGGAACTCCTTACCCCATTCTGTCTGCCTATCTCCTACGCTGCCCACCTTTAGGTGATCCTTAAAAACCCATCTTTTCAGGGAAGCCTATCTCATCTCAACATAACTGCCTTTTACTTCTTCCAATAACTCAATCCAAACAATTATTACCTTTTGTATCACTTGCCCCTCCTATTAGATTGTAAGCTCTCATGAGCAGGGCCCTCCCAACCCTACTGTTCTGAAACTGTATTGTATTGTAAATTGTGTTGTAACTGTACTGTCTCCACTATTTTGTAAAGAGCTGAGCAAATTGTTGGCGCTATATAAATCCTGTATAATAATAATAATAATAATAATAATAATATATTGTGCTATTAAGTATTTTGCTATTAAGAAAAGTAAAAAAACAAAAACATACTACTACATAAACCATACACCTAAAAATTATAAAAAGTAAACATAAGCCAATATAAACTGCAGCAAAATTTACACATGACACTTTACTTTAATTTTATGATTCCCAGACTAGTCACTGACTTATGTTATATTTTCAGCTTCTATAGTTATCCAGAAATGGTGGTGTCAGATGCAGCCTTGTTTAGAAGGAGAAGACTGCAAAGTTCTACCAGATTTGACAGGTTGGAGTTGTAGTAGTGGGAACAAAGTCAAAACAACAAAGGTAAGACTAACAAGAACAAATGTACAGTATATATATGTCACATTGCAATGGCAAAGAGGTAAAAGTTAAAGCTGAACTCCAAACACAAAAACTTTCATTTAAATATATTCCTCAATAGCCAAAACGGATATAAATCCACTTTGTGTGCACAAAATTCTTTTGCAAGTCCATTGTTTTACTTTTTAAAAATAGCAGCGGCATCATTACTGTGCTGCACATAGCCAATGCAGAGCTAAAGGGAGGGACCCAGCAGACTTCACCTTCCACCTGCTGCCTGTAATAAAACTACAGAATGGGGCAGAGACGAGACCAGTTACCCTGCACAAGGAGAGAAATCAGCAGTGACTGGGCCTAATACAGGAGCTCCTACACAAAGTCAACTTTCACACTGGATTCTGAATAAATCTAAAATAAATACACAGGGGACACCAAGATCAGGTAAAAATACACATGGCTGTTGTATTTAGACAATATTTCTGTATCTCGGAGTTCACCTTTAAATGCTTGGCCTGTTTAGTGGCTGACAGCCTGCAGCCTATTGCCTATCACAGGGATACTAAAGGATGTTACACGTATCATCCCATAACTAAGATCATCAGCTGTGTTCAGGTGGACTGTTATTTAGGGGATTAGTACTTAACAACCAGGCTACTGCAGTATAGGTGCCCATACATTTGGATGAATTTCGGCCAGTTTTTAATGTACCGGCTGAAATTTGCACAGTTTGTGGGGCTGTTGGCTCCTTTTCAGCCGGCATTCCTCGATCAGCTAATCAAAGGAGTCGGCTGGAAAATCTTTGTGTAATCAGAGCTAGCAGCCAATGAGCTGCCCACTCTGATTAGGTATTCTGACAGGTGCCGGTGGCACCAGTCAGAATACAATGCAAACAGCGGCGATTACTCGATTGACACGCTGTTTGTGTTTGATGGAGGAGTAGCATCAATTTCCTTTGTTCAGCCTGTGGCTTGAACGGAAAAGATTCACAGGTGTATTGACAGATTATGACTGATCTCCAGTAGGCCAAGACTCTGTTCAACTCTCAACTGCCCTGTGGATGTTAAAGAGCAACCAGCATATGTAAGATTGTAGGGAGGTTTAGGAGCAATAAATGGCCTTCACTGGGGAGTACACTTCAATAGTACAAGAGGAACCTTGGATCTGTATAGAAAACTATGATCAGTGCTAATAGTTGGGCAAATACCAAAGGGTGTTCCAGCCCTACAAAAGTAGCTTGGTATAATATTGCTATGATATTGATATGCACGAGGCTTGGTGTGTGTAATTTTTTTAGAAAACACGTTTGTAAAGTTTGATTAATACAAATGTATTGTATTTAAAAAAGATATATGCATGATGCAATGGTGTAATAATGTGCTGCTAAAATAAGTAAGTGGTTAGTCCAGGGGTAGGCCTCCTTGGCACTCTAGCTGTGGTGAAACTACAAATCTCATCATGTATCTGCCTCAGTGAGCCATGCCTGTGACTTTTGGGGTCTTACAATGTCTCATGGGATTTGCAGGTTCAACACAGCCTAGCCCTGAAATAAACCAATGGTATAGAATAATCAACAAACTGGCAGACATGCATTTACATATTTCTAAAAGGGGTACAGAACTGTGCCCCAAATGTGTTAGCATTTATGGAGCGTTCATACAACTCTAAACACCCCTGTTAGTGCAGCATATCCTGTATGGAGGATTAGGAGCAGTGAAGGACCTGCAACGGGCAAGAAGTAGCACAAGATGAAGATGGAATCTGTATAGGACACAGATATCAGTGCAAATTGTTGGGAAGACACCAAAGCCTTCTCCAGCCCTTCAAAAGTAGATTCTGATAACTGTATCTCTCATTTAAATCCAGAAAATGAAGTAAGAACATTAAATTACCTATAATAAGAGGCTGGAAATTTACTTTAACTATAATATTTATTTATTAGTCTGAGACCTGTAAACTATAAACATTCCATCTAGGTAGGGGTAAAGAATTATGACTCCATTGTGAGATTTTGTTATAGCGCTTCAGCTTGGGACCAGTTGTAGGTATAAACAAAAGGAAACAATGTCTATCTGACTGCATGCCTGTGTAATATAGTGATATTCTATGGTTTAGTTGTTCTTTAAACTAATATGATACATTGTATTAAAAAATGGACTGGACTGGGACGATTATAAGATATGGAAAGCCGAATATTCTTACCAAAAGCATAACAATTGTATATGGGTAGTGAAGATTAGTAAAGAAGGTTTCTCACTGGCAATTATATGCAAAAAAAGGAAATGTCATATATTAGTAGAAGCTTTATACAGTACAGTATGCTATGCTGTTGACATATGCATATGGATATTAGGAAAAGTTTTGTGAATGGTCATGGTCAAATACTGCATTTTTATTTGTATTTTTTAGTCCACACACATACCATTTTTCAAATATGTGTGTACATGTGTGTGTGTGTGTGTGTGTGTGTGAATATATATATATATATATATATACAGTATATGTTATTCAATGGCATTTTCAAGTACTTTTAATGCATTCTCTAAAGAGACTGAATTGGAACAAAAGAGTATGTCAAGTACTACAGTTTATCAAAAACAAACATTTTCCAGTCTGTACTCCTTGTTGGTTGTTTCCTCATCGTTATGTCCTACAAACATAGATGGAAAGTCATTTAAAATTGTGCTACACACCTCAACATTACAGATAAGATTGAAATACTTAAATAAATAGATTTTTGCATAATCAGATTGGCATAAATATGGCGAACCTTTTTAATGAAGATTTGTTATTGCACACAGATTTGTGGCAACTAGTGAAAAAAATATGCACGTGTGCTGAAAATGTTCTATTGGTGTACAGAGTGAGGATGCTGAGCTGATTATTCAGATAAACTGGAATCAGAGTCACTGAAACGTCATATTTTTGAACATGACAGTAAACATGTAGATCAGTGCAAAGGGTGTGAATCAGAAGGAAAACACTGTCAATGTGGTACTTGGAAGCATGATAAACCATTTGTCGCATGCAAAAACTCTCAGTATATAACAAGCTGACATGAGCAAAGCAGATTAGTCAGTTTGGAATTTTCCTCTAGATTACTCCCATTGACTCTGAAATTTAAGACAAACTTTTAAGGGTTTGCCAAAAGATTATAATGAGGAAAGATGAACAAATGATCAAAATGCAACCCACAACATCCTAATGTTCATATCTAAAAAACTAAAGTTGAGTGCACCTTTAACTGCTAGCCTTACATGTAGTGAGGGAACAGTTTTTTCATGCCATTTTTGTGTGATGTAGCAAGATCAGTTGTCTTGTCAGTTGCTTTCATTATTGCTGTTTTAGATTGTCTTATACGTGCCTTGTGCTGAAAATTCCTCAGTAACAAGTGATCTGCCCTTAATAATTTGTCTGTGAATCATCCATAGTAACCTACATCCCAAAGATTGCCACTGAGCATCACCCTTTTCACCCATGCAAATGAGTGTGCCCATGCTCAGGAATTCATGAGAAAATTAAAATCATTTTTTTCACAAGAGAGAATACCGTCTCGCAGTGCAAGTTTGATTTTTAGTAAATTAAGCCCTAACTGTTTTCAAGAGCAGACAGTTATTTATAGGGTGTGAAATGAAAATAGCTGAGAACAAGGTATGAAAAAGGATACTGTGGTATTTAGGCATTCTGCTGATGAACAGCACCTCGTGCTGTGTAAGACTTGAAAACCGCCATCTGCTTTCTAAGGGAAGACGCATGTACCTGCACCTGGAAGAACACAGAACACTAGGTGCTTAAAAAACTCATCTCTGATCCTCCAAATAACTGACAATAATAAACTTGTCTACTGAATAAAAAGTTAGTCAACGTATTAAATTATATTTAAGTTTTTTGTGGTTCAAGCAACTACTAACTTTTCTGTTTCTTACAAATTTTTTTTTTTTTTTTACATTCCAGAGAATCATTAAGGTAAGTGGCAGTTACCTTGCTACAACAGTAGGAGCAAGACCTCATTGTGGGTTTAGAGTTCAGCAGAGCTGGGAACTGAGTGCCAGTAGAGCCTATAGCAACCAGTGGAAGATTCAGTCCACAAGAATCTACAGTTAAATAAAATATTGGACCATGGCTGCCTATCACTGTCCATCTGTTTAACTTTAACCCCTTTAACCTTTTCCCTGCCACGGACGTAGGGCATGCTGCAGAACAAAAACATTCCCAGCTGGCCAGATCAGTATGCCTGATGGCGGCTGTGTTTAGCCCTCTACCATAAGCTCATAGTCACTTCAGTGCCCCCCATTACTTTTTTGTGTAAATGAATAATTGCTATGCAATGACAGCTA